GTCACATGTCCCAGCACGGTCTTGTCCTTGGTCTCCCAGGTTCACTCCCCGCGTTTCCCTCCTCCCCAGCTCCACCTTGCACGCCTTGTGTCGAGGGTCGGCTTCGCCCTGCCCCTCACTCCTCCTCGTTCCCCCCTACCGCCGCGCCGCTGCAGACCCTGCACCTGGACGTCTGGGGCCCCGCCCCCGTCCCTGGGCCGCGTCGCGAGCGCTACTTCCTTGTGCTTGTCGACGACTTCACTCGTTACACCACAGTCTTTCCCCTGGAGCGCAAGGCCGACGTGCCTGGCGCCCTCATCCCCTGGCTTGTCTCTGCGCGTGTCCACCGCGGTCTCCCTGTCTTGCGTCTTCACTCAGACCGTGGTGGCGAGTTTGCCTCAGGTGTCCTTGGTCGCTTTTGTCGTGCGGAGGGCATCACCCAGACATTCACCCTACCGGACTCCCCACAGCAGAATGGGGTCGCTGAGCGACGCATCGGCTTGGTCATGGAGGTCGCTCGCACCTCCATGATCCATGCCGGTGCACCCCATTTTCTGTGGCCGTTCGCTGTGCGCTCTGCTTCTCACCAGCTTAACCTGTGGCCGCACCCTCAACAGCCGCAGGTTTCGCCGACCCGTCTGTGGACTGGGTCTCCTGGTGACGCGTCTGCGTTCCACGTCTGGGGCTGCCTTGCTCACGTCCGTGCCTCCGGCACGGACAAGCTCACTGCCCGCACCCTTCCCTGCGTCTTCCTCGGTTTTCCCCTTGACGCGTCCGACTGGCACTTTTACCACCCGCCGTCTCACCGCTTCTTTCACTCTCGTGACGTCACCTTTGACGAGTCCGTCTCCTACTACCGCCGCTTCCCCCACCGTGGTCCCCCGGTTACCCCCCCCCTGTTCCTGGTCACCCCTTCCCCGGTAGTCCCTGCCCCTCCTCCTCCTCCTCCCCGTCCCGCCCCCTCTGGTGTCTCCCATGTCACCCCCCTTCCGTCCGTGGACCCGGTTGAGGAGTCTTCTGACTCTGTTGGCCCTCCGGTGCAGTCCTCGCCGGCCGCCCCTCCCCAGGTGTCCCCTCCCCAGTCCCCTCCTCCGCCGTCCCTGCCGTCAATGCAGCCATCGCCGCCGCCGCCGCCGTCGCAGCCCCCGTTCGCTGACTCTGGGGGTGCTCGTTCCGGTCGCCCTGAGGGTGGTCCCTCTGGGGGTGCGGGTGTGGAGAGTGCCGGTGGTAGCCGAGGAGCAGCTTGCGGTCCAGGTGTCGCCGTTGTGCCGCCGCAGCAGCAGTCCCCGCCGGTGTCCGCCCTTCGCCTGCTCGGCCTTCCGTCCCCCGACCCTGCGTCGGTTCCTCCCCGACCGTCTCCTCCTCTTCCTGTCTACGGCCCTGTTTTCCCTCCGCCGGACTCGTCCCCGGCCCGTCTCCCCCCTCGTTCCCCTCCTGTGTCCCCTCCCCTGTCTCCTGACCCGACTCCTCCATCGCACGTCTGGTCTCACCGTCCCTCCCGTGCTCGTCCTGCCTCGCCTGTCCTGCGCTCCCACCCTATGTTGCTTCGTTCACACGCGTCTCGTCCTCCCCTTCTGCCGTCACCTCCTCCGTCCTCCCTTGTTGTTGCGCCCCCCCCGCTGTCCGACTACATTCGTGCCGCTCGTCCTCTCGTTCCTCGGGTCCTTGCCTCTCTCGTTACCGACCCGTCTGTTCCAGTCTCGTGCCTTGACGCTCTTGTCGCTGCTGTCGCTGACTTCGCCTCTACCCGCCGCCTTGACTACGCCACCTCTCTGGTCTCTGACCCTGCCTGTCCTCCGTCTGTCGGGGGTGCTCCTGCCCTTGGCAGTGACGTCCTGGAGGACCGCCAGTTCGAGCTTGGTTTCCTCTCCGAGGCTGCTCCCCATCTCTGTTCCATGCTGCTAGTCCCTGAGGGTGACCCAGACGCTTTCGACATCCCGACCCCTCGCACTTACGCTGAGGCGACTTCGGGACCCTGGGCCTCGCAGTGGATAGCTGCCATGGAGCAGGAGATGGCATCTTGGAGATCCACCGGCACCTTCGTCGACGCAGTTCCCCCACCTGGGGTGAACGTAGTCGATGGCCGCTGGCTCTTCAAGGTGAAGCGCCCTCCTGGAGAGCCGCCTGTCTTCAAGGCGCGCTATGTGGCTAGAGGCTTCAGTCAGCGCGAGGGGGTGGACTTCTTCCAGACTTTCGCTCCGACCCCGAAGATGACTACTCTTCGGGTTCTGTTACACCTAGCTGCTCAGCGTGACTACGAGCTTCACTCCCTCGACTTCTCCACTGCCTTCCTTCAGGGCAGCCTACACGAGCAGGTCTACCTGCGCCGTCCTCCGGGCTTTACTGGCACCTTCCCTTCTGGGACCCAGTGGCTCCTGCGGCGCCCCGTCTACGGCTTGCGCCAGGCTCCCCGTGAGTGGCACGACACTCTGCGTGCTACGCTTGCTGACCTGCAGTTCTTTCCGTCTTCTGCAGACCCTTCACTCTTCGTTCGTGCTGGCCAGACTCCGTTCTACATCCTCGTTTACGTCGACGACCTGGTCTTTGCCACAGCAGACAGGGACGCGCTGGCCTCCGTGAAGGCAGAGCTGCTGAAGAGACACACCTGCACTGACCTTGGAGAACTGCGCCGTTACCTTGGCTTGCAGATCTCCAGGGACAGAGCTGCGCGCACCATCACCCTGACTCAGTCACACTTGGTGCGCCAGGTCCTTCAGAGGTTCAGCCTTCAGTTCTCCTCTGCACAGCCCACCCCTCTGCCTGTAGACCACAGGCTCTCCGCTCCAGTGCCTGAGGAGTTGGTAGAGCCCAGCGGCCCCTACGCAGAGTTGGTGGGTTGCCTCATGTACCTGATGACTTGCACTCGCCCAGATCTCGCATACCCTCTCAGCATCCTGGCTCGCTTTGTGGCCACAGGCAGACACCGACCGCAGCACTGGTCTGCCGCTAAGAGGGTTCTGCGTTATCTTGCTAGTACATCGGGCATGGGGTTAGTGCTAGGAGGACGCAGGCCAGCGGTCCTTACTGGGCACACAGACGCTTCGTGGGCAGACGACGCTGAGACACTCCGGTCTACCCAGGGCTACTGCTTCAGCCTTGGCTCAGGTGCCGTCTCGTGGAGAGCTACTCGCTCCTCGTCTGTTGCACAGTCCAGCTGTGAGGCTGAGATCTACGCCGGTGCCATGGCGGCACAGGAGCTCCGCTGACTGACCTTCTTGCTCACTGACTTAGGTGAGCGGCCTAGCTCTGCCCCGGTCCTGTTCGCTGACAACAGGGCCATGATCCTCCTGTGTCAGGAGCCTCGACTCGAGGGCAGAGCGAAGCACATTCAGCTGCGGTACTTCCTCCTGCGTGAGCTACAGCAGCGACGTCAGGCTCGCGTAGTACACTTGGCCTCAGGTGCCAACACGGCTGATATCTTTACGAAGGCGCTTGCGCCTAAAGATCATCAGCGGCACTGTGTACAGCTTGGTCTAGTTCCTGTAGCCTCTCACTTGCTAGGACCTTGACTTTGTACTGTCCTTTATATGTATACTCAGACTGGACTTGTGTCCTCTCCCAGTGGCTGGACTAGTAGTGCCGCCCTGCTCTTGTGCTTGCCTTGTCTGTACTCCTTCTGACCGGTCGCTCAGACCCTTGTCTCAGAGGTTGGACTAGTAGTGCCGCCCTGAGCTGCTTGTTTAGGGTATTCCCCTATGCAGTCTAGGGGGTGTGTCAAACATGTGTATTTGTCATGTTTGTATAGACTGTATAGAGTCACCTCTTAGAGGATACAAAACTTAGATATATTTGTGTGTACTCTCACTTTACCAATTATTCAATTATTCTGATACTTTTAACCCAGTGGTTAGTGACTGGGTTTCTGACATGGTACATCAGAGCCAAAGGTCTTGGGTTCAACTCCCAGTGCTAGCGCTGCAGAGGCGCTCGTGTCTTCCACCTATCCCAGCGGGGGGGGGGGGTGTTGAGTGACCCGCTGGGGTTGCCCTTGAGATCCTCGGGGAAGGGCCACAGGTGCAGAGCCTGGGGGGCTATGGGCGCACTTATCCGCTATTCAACAAGCCCTTTTAACCCAGTGGTTAGTGACTGGGTTTCTGACACTTTCTTCCTAGTTAAGCTAGCATTTAAACATATCGATACCCGTCCATGACAGGCCAGCCAAAATCATCCCACGGCCGATTTTCGATTAGGGGATGGACTCACCCTGTAAAATGTAGTGTAAAAGTTCGCACCCCTAGAAAAAATTGCCCCCCCTGTCATTGTCAGGAGTGGCACATTCCGAGCTGGTCCAAACTCTGGCTACAGTGTCACGTAATTCTGACGAAAAACAGTTAAATGCAGTTCCGCGTGGTGTGACGCGAGATTGGGAGTGTCGAGATTCAAGGGGTGTTTTCAAATCTCGTTTCAGGTGCGAAATTTTCAGTCGTGCGCGAATCTGTACAGTTGGATTTTGACACGATTGATAACGCAATTCTGAGACGAATTAGCTGGAAAAACGGTTCTTCGAGCACGCTCTCAGGCAAGGGCCGAGTTTGGGAAGAGGACAGCCTGGGAAGAGGTTTGTAGGAACACGCTTTCAAACCTGCCACCCGTGGAATATTTGTTGCCGCGTGGCCGTCATCACCCCAGTAATGTGCTACAGTTTATTGTGAAGTTCTTTTTTTTCCGTCTGGAAGCTCAGATGATGCTGGACAATTCGTCTGAAAATCCAGACTAGTCCAGGTAGCTCGTCTGATGGTCAGACGAAATTTTGAAACCTCGTCTGATTCTCAGACAGCCCTAAAACTTAGCAGGAACCCTGTGTTGAGTGACCCGCTGGGGTTGCCCTTGAGATCCTCGGGGAAGGGCCACAGGTGCAGAGCCTGGGGGGCTGTGGGCGCACTTACCCGCTATTCAACAAGCCCTTTTAACCCAGTGGTTAGTGGCTGGGTTTCTGACACCCTGACCCTGAGCAATCAGGGTACCTTAAAACCAATCTGAGGCCCTGATTCCGTGTGATGATACAATAGCATAGGCAAATACTCGAATTTGTAATCAACCCAGTCAGCAAAAGATTCTTGCGCGGGAATTTCAGGGGGTGCGTATAGGGATTAGATCCCGGGCAAAGGGGAGGTGCGTTTCCCCCAGATTAGTTTCCCCCCTGTGCGTATAGGGATTAGATCCTGGGCAAAGGGGATTATATCCGGGGGATTGTTTCCCCCGGATGTACACACCTAGGCGCGTATATCCATTAGTGATGGCAAAAGAATGGAACCCAAACACAGGTACGGTAGTACCGGGTATGACACAGCAACAGCAGCTATGGCCGCAGTAGCAGCAAGAGACATAGGTGGGAACAAACACAGCCATGAGGTGATGGCCCTGATCTGATGATGATGCGACTCTTGAAGATGGTGAGGATGATGACGATAGTGGTTATGATGGTGATGATGGTGGTGATGGTGGTGGCAGTGGTTGTTGCAATCCAGCGCGGTCCAATGTGGAACGCAAAAGCGAGTGAGTGGTGCTGAAGGAGCACCACCATGCGGCCAGTTGTCCATGCCATACTCCATACGAGCTTCCGAGACTTCTTCTCTCCCACTCCCCTCCCCCGCCTGTTGCTTCCCCCCCTCCGCCTCCTCCCCCCCCTCCTCCTCCCCCCCTTCCCCCCCCCCCCCCCTCAAATCACTCCCTTTCTCAGGCAGTCTCATACCATCCAGCGAAAACGGTCACGTTATGCCCTAGCGGAGGGGAAAAACGCTCCTCGTGCACGCATGGATGCACGTGCGAGAGCGAGCGCACATGCACGGCGGTGCATGAGCATGTGCGCTTGGGTGACACGGGGGAAACATACACCTGTGGGCCAGAGCTCGGTGGACTGCGTGGCTCTCAGGCGCGCGTGCAGCGTGTGAAATGCGGAGCAAGGCAACGAGGAAGGAGCACAATGTGCGCTAACCGCAAGGTGGTCACAACAGCACCCAGGGCGAAAGCAGCAGACCAAACCGATTACTACCAGCCCACTCCCAATTAGGTACTTGCAGGGGAGGAAGATGCTGCTGCTCCTCCTGCTGACAGGTGGGTGATGTGGCAGAGAGGCGGGCGAGGGGAGGGGAGCAATGGAGGAGAATGACAAGGGGACGAGGAGAAAGAGGAATGGAAGGAGTGGTGAGGATGAGGATGGCAGTTAGGCATGAGATGTGTGGTGTACATTCCAAGACATTGAGGGAGAATAGCAAGACGACAGGACAGCTTCCATCATGCAAAAGTGGATTCACGCACTCAGGAGCAGGCTCAAGCACTCAGAAGCAAAGACTCACCAAAAAGAATGGAAGGTCAACTACAGCAGAAGCTCCTAGTCCACACCTCCTGCACCATCTACACTATCCACACCACCCGACTGCTGCTGCTGGTCCTGCTTCTCTTGTTGCGCCTGTTGCTCTCGTTGCTCTTGTTGCTGCTCCCCCGATTCCTGCTGGCCTGCCATGCCTCCCCCTAGCGAGCTACCCTGCAAGGGAGAGCAGTCCTGTAATTGCTCCCCTGCCTCGTCTGCTCTAGCGGGCCCCGGTATCAGCTGAGTGACAAGGCAGCGCGCGGCGAGAGAGAGCGCCTCTGTCACCGCCACTATGGGCGACGAATCGCCGCCTCTGCCTTCCATCCCCGGACCTTCACCCCCTGCTGCCGCCCCCCCTCCCCCTCCCGCCCCGAATTCCCTTCCCAAGCCCCCACAAGGCAGCCCTGCTGCTCCAACCGTCCCGTCTCTGCCCTCTGCCCCACCCACAGCCATAAAACTTTCTCTGCCTCCTCCGTCCCCACCTTCTCCCCCTGCCCCTGCCCCTGCCTCTGCCCCTGCCCCTGCCCCTGCTGCTGTCCTGCTGTCTTGGCAGCAGTCCTCCGGCTCACCTTCCCTACACTGCGCTGGCCTCTCTCTGACACCCTGTCCCCGACTTACTACCCCCTCCCCCTCCCCGTCCCCGCTTTCTCTTCCTCTACCGAGCCCGAACCACAAGCCTTGCCCTTGTTGCATCTGTGATTGCTGTTGTGGTTGTTTTTGTTGCTGCTGCTGCTGCTGCTCCCCTTTCAAACCAACCTGCTCCACCTGTCCCTTCCCCTGTCCCTTACCCTGCCCCTGCCCTTGCCCCTGCCCCTGTGCCTCCATTTCCGCCCCCAGGCCACCGCCAGGGGCGTCTGGAGAGAAGAAGGGCTGAGCAGCAGTGGGCGGGGAGAGGGGCAGCGAGCTCGAGTGCAGCGGCACGGACGCCACAGGCGCAGGCGGGGGATCCTGGGGCACTGCCTGCTTGGGCCGTGACCGCCGAACCAGCTTGCGCGGGTTGAAGTACTGCTCAGGCTCGGGATGCCGATCCTGGGTGGGATAGGGGAGGTGTGAAAAGGGGTGGGTAGGGAATGTGGAGGTGGGAGGCAATGGGGGGAAAAGATGGGGGAAGGAGGGAGAGGGGAAGGAGGGGGGAGGGGGGTAGATTGGGGTGATTGTGGCGAAGAGAGTGCAGAGGTGAAGGGCAGGAGGCGAACGCTTAGGAGGAAACGGGGTAGGGAACATGGCAGTTCAGAACACAGATCCCACATCCTCTCCCTGTCGCCCCTCTTCCCCCCCCTACCCCACCCCACCCCATCCCTCGTCCCCCATCCCCATCCCCACCGCCCTCCCCCCCCAGCGCACCAGGCCGACGTGCATGCGGCGCACGAAGCGCACAAATTCGGCCCAGTTCCTCTCCCTCAGCAGGTCAGGCCCTAGGCGCAGGAAGGTGAAGGAGGAGATGCGGCGCAACGGCCGCCCGCTCCAGTTGATGCCGTCGGGCCTTGCGTTGTGGATGATCTGGTCGAACGCTGCCACGTCGTAGCGGGGCAGCGCGTTCTCACACGCCACTTCCAGGCCCTCCTGCCACCCCGCATCCAGCACCTGAGGGGGGACGGGGGACGGGGGACAGGGGACAGGGGACAGGGGGGGGGAGATAGAAGGGGGGGAAGGGGGAGGGGGTGAAGCAAAGGGAAGGAGGGAGGTGGCAAGCGAGCGAGGGCGTTGCCTTCATTAGGCCTCCACTGACCGTCCTGTCACCCACACAAGCAGCCCTCTCTAATTTCACCCAACCCTCCAACCCAACCCTCCAGCTCCAAACTCACCAACGACAACCTTACCCCTCGACTCCTCCCCTCAAACCCATCCTCCCCTCGCCTCTCCTCGACCCTGCCCCCCCACCCCACCTGTTGCACGAGGCCCTCAGGGCCGCACCGCGCCTCCCAGTACTGCTCGTGATTGCGCATCTCGGCGCACGTGAAGTTGAGCATGGCGCTGTGGCGCGCCAGCATCAGCGCGATGGGGCGGTACCCGTCGCGCTCCCGCAGGTTGTAGTACCCGGCTGCGAGCTCCGCCGCGTGGTTGTGCGAGTTGTACCACCAGTGCACGCCCGCCACCTGGGAGCGATTGCAGGGGGGGAGGTAGAGCGAAGGGGACGGATGATGAAGGGGAAGAGGGGTTGGAGGCAGCAAGGGGTTTCTGAGGCGCCTCAAAGCAGGTTGTTTGTAGTACCCCTGAACGAGCTCTGCCGCATGGCTGTGCGAGTTGTACCACCAGTGCACACCCCCCACCAGGGAATTGAGGGGGAGGGATGTGAGGTGTTCGAGGATGGGACGAGGTAGGGGAAAGAGAGAGCGAGAGTGAAAGAGTGATCAGGCATCTCGTGCTTCCAGTTTCCTCTTCCTTTGCTCCACACCCATCCCCCCTTCCATCACCTCACCCTCCCTGTCCTCATCCTTCCCCATTCCCTCCTCCCCCCCCCACCCACCCATTCCCTCTCCCCCCACCCTCACCTTAGCAGCGAGCTTGACGGGCAGCCCCACAAAGACGTCCGTGGCGGCCTCCAGAATGGCGTCCCCGTGGCGCAGCAGCACGGACGAGTACCACTCGAGGAAGAAGCGCCCGTAGTCCGTGGCGAAGGACCCGTGCGGCCCAAAGAACCCCGTGGCCTGCGGCCAGTCGTTGTACCGCCCCGCGTCGTGCGGGCCCGAGTACCCCCACTGGTACTGCCCCGCCTCCTGCGCCGCGTAGCTCAGCTGCGCCAGCAGAAACTTGTCGTAGCACTGCGGGGTGGGTGGGGGGGGGGGGGGGGAATGGGGGGAGACGAGGGGGAAGAGTGGGAAAGAGGGGTGCAGCAGGTGACAAGCAGCCCCCATGGAGGAGCCCAATCCCCCCAGCAACCACGGCAGAGCAGCGCATACAGGAACAGCAGAGCAGCGCGTTGCAGCGCAGTTGCGCAGCGAGGCGCGCACCTGGAACTCGCCGATGCCTGGGAAGCGCCAGCCGTGCGTCTCGGGGTAGGAGGGGTAGCGCAGCTCGCCCGCAGGCCCCAGCCCCACCTCCACCTCCGTCACGATGCCCGAGTGCAGGAAGTGCAGGAAGTGCGCGCGGAACGACCGCATGAAGTCCGTGTACACCTGGGGGGGGAGGGCGAGGGGGGGAGGGAGGGAGTGGAAGAGGTGTTGAAGCGTTGTGGTCGACTCACAAGCACGGTGGTGTGGAGCGAGCACTTGGAAGTCCGTGTACACCTGGCAAAGGGTCGGGGGGGGGAGGGTGTACAGTGGGGTGTGAGTGGAATCAGGGCTCCTGATGGGCTGACTGCCAGGGGCATTGCACGAACAGCAGCCTAAAATACGCATTTCTTTCTATCCCTTGCGCTTTCACCCTCGCCTCTTCCCTCCGTTGCGCATCCTTCCAACCACAGCCCTCTCCCTCTTTCCCCCTCGCCCCTCCTTCCCTCTCCTCCCCTCCCTCTCCCCTCCCCTCCCTCCCTCCCTCCCTCTCTCCCTCTCTTCCTCTCCAGCCCTCTCGTCCCCTCTCACCTGCACGCCTGTGCGGCCGGCCAGCACGGGCTCATCATCCACGCCAAAGCTCAGATACTCGCGATTCCGCAGCCCGTCGCGGTTGGTGAAGAAGATATCGGGGCACTTGTCGCCCTCGGCGAGCACCCAGTGCGGCAGCGGGATGAAGCAGCTGTCGCCCGTGTTGCCGCCGCACTGGTGGAACGACATCACGGCCTGGATCTTCAGCCCCGCCGCGCTGATGTGGCAGAACAGCGCGTGGTACGCCGACCAGTCGTACTTCCGCGGGCCCGCGGACTCGACCACCCCCCACCACACGTCCACCATCACCCCATCCACGCCCGCCGCACGCAGCGCGCGCAGGTTGCATACCAGGCGCTCCGTGTGCGCAAGGACGTTGTCGCGCGTCACGGTGTCGAGCTGGGGGGAGGGGGAAGCGGGGAGGGGGGAGGGGGAGGGATAGAGAGAGAGAGAGGGGGAGAGGAAAACGGGGGAATAAGGGCGGGAGGGGGGGAGGGGTGGGGGTGCCGGCTGGGGGGAGAGGGATGGCCGCCTTGAGAAGGAAGCGAGGCGATTGCTGCGACGGAAAGAGTACGGAAGACGACGACACGACATGTGCGAGAGGCTAGAACGAAGCGGGTGGATGGGTACACGACGTGCAAGGCGCGCGGGGCGAGGCAGGCCCGAGGGACGAGGTGCGTGCGAGGGGCGGGGGGCGATGGGCAGGGGCGAGGGGCGAGGGGCGGGGGCGAGGGGCGAGGGCGTACGGGCAGCATGACGTAGACGGGGACGTAGTGCGCGAGGAGAATGTCCTGCTCCGTGTTCAGCGGCGCCAGCACCGGCTCCTTCAACGAATCCTCCACCGCCGAAGCCTGCTGCTGCTGTTGCTGCTGCTGTTCCCGCACGTGCTGCCGCTGAAATAGGATAATAGGGAGCGAACGAAAACAGGCACAGAGTCGGGAATGGAGCAGGATTTCAGGAGAATAGCAGGAAATGTATGGCTTAACAAGCTGGTGCGATAATCTCTATGAGGAGGAAGAATAAAAGAATAGCGGGAAAGGGATGGCGCACTAGGGTTAGAGTGCATGCAGCGAAAGGGGCAGGCAGGCGGGCGGGCGGGTGGGGAAACCGCGAGACGTCTAAGGTTAACCGTTTCGACTAAAGGATGGGCTTAAATACAAAGAAGATAATGGAGGAAGTGGCGGCGGACGGCCGAGGGGAGGCACGCGGAGGGCGGGAGGCAACTCGCGCTACGGCTCCCGGCGGACTTGCATGGAGGCGCAACAAGCCCCTCGCTGCGCCTACTGCGCTCGGCTCCGAACCTGGTGCGCGGACCATGCGCGGACTCGGGAGAGCTATGCGGGGGTCTTGAAATGGCGGAGAATGCTGTGCGGAGAATGCTGTGCGGAGACACCGTTTGGCTTGTGAAGGCGCACCAAGGGACGCGGGTGGCAGCTATCGCTGCCGCTACGTCTGCCTCTATTGCTGCCTCTATTGCAGTCGCTGCTGCAGCAGGAGCAGGAGGAGGGGGAACGGGGGAAGGGGAGACGGAGAGAGGGAGAAAGATAGGGGCGGCGAGGGAGGAAGCTCACCCGCTTGTCGGGAGTAACGGGGGCTAGCTTGGGGTCCCAGTGGACGGGGGCCTCGTGCTGCAGGTACTTGATATCCACAACCCAGCCGCGCACCTTCTTCATATGGCCCGCCAGCAGCGCCGAGGTACTTCCCGACGCCTGCGACAGGAAACACGGCGCCTGCGACAAGAAGCACGGCGCCTGCGACGGACTCGCATTTCGCTGAGGGCAAGCGCCTGGGGACGCGTGGCGATGTAACTGCCTGTGCGACGACGACCGCGACGGCGTAGGAATAAGTGGCGGCGACGGCCCTGCGACGCTGGCCAGGCTAGGCTGAGTATTGGCGGTGGCGGGGGTGGACGGATTGGAGGTCGAGGTGGGCCATTGGAGGGTATGTTGCTGCCATGGCTGGTGGCACTGTAGCTGCCACATCACCAGTAACCACGGGCACGGGTCCTTTAGCAAACCCTAACGAATTACAGTACAGTACTCAGAAGGCGGGAAGGCAACCAGGAGAAACGGGGTCTGATGACTGGACTGGACGTGGTATAGCAAGTACATGGCAATACATAGTATTCCTAGACCGAAGTGTCCCTCGTGGGGAGGAAGATTGTTGACTAGGATATTATGTCAGGTCCAGTCCGTGGGCGGGTGAGAATGACGCGTGGAAAGCGTGTGAGGGGGGGCGGGGATTAGGCGAGCATGTGAGTGGAGCAGCCGAGGATAACGTTGCTGCCTTGTGCGCTCGCTTTCGGGCCCTGGGGACCAAGTCCTCAGCGCCGACCACCCGGGCAGGGAAAAAGGTTGGGCGTGTGGGGAAGAAAGGGGCGGGGGAGGGAAGTGCGCTTGCGCTTGCACTGGAACTGTACATCTTCCCCACGCGCAGTCCCTCTGTCGGAAACAACTGGAGGCTCCCCTTGGCTTCTGAGTGTAGGGGTGCTGGTAGTTGCGGGGGAAATGCATGGCGGCAGATCCAACTCCTTTCTCTATCGATGGAGAAAGGATGAGGGCACCTGTAAGGAAATGGTACACTTAAGTATTCGATTGAATAGCACATATTAGAGTTCGCTTTCTATTACAATCACCCCAAGTTTGGTTCAGGTTTGTAATGCCGCACGGAGAGCAAGTCCTGTCGAACGTGGGTTTCTCAGGCAGACTGTATAGTATAACCGTCCCCACGCAGATAAAACAATCGTTTCCACCAGAAACGAGAACGCCGCCTTCGACAAACACTTGGTGTATTTCCTTATAACGGGTTTTAGTTACTAAGGCATACACTGCTATAACGGGGTTGCCGCATAGCTGTGCCACGAAATTCAAATCGCGATACCCAAATGTGGTCTCCTGACGAGCCGCATGCATTTTTCTCGCCTTGATGTTTAGATCTGGGGGCTTCGCACCAATTTAAAAACCACACGTCTCAGCTCTGTCAAGCCTCGACCATGTGCTCTAAACCTAACTATATACATACTCCATGTTTTTTTTATGTTGCCTCATTCTATTGTTTCCTCGCTACTCAACTATTCGAGACACGCTCGTAGCGCTTCATTACACCTGGCCAGCGAACCTCATCCTTACGCTCTAGTCCCGGTGCAATACCAACACTCAAGGAGGCTGACGCCATGTGCTTACTGCATATCCGCTGTCTCAATAATTACCTATAGCAACGACTGTGTTCGTAGTGCCAGCGTACCGACAGCCGCCCAAAAATTTCCACGAAATGGTGGATCCGTCGTCGTCTAACACAATGACTCCGGAAAAAAAATGCGGCAACACTCGAAAAACTTCGTCTCGCTGACGAGTTGTACCAGTAGGAGTTGGCGCGTCTGCGAGCTGAATCTGAAATATCTGCACTACGGACGGGATGCCTCGGACACGACACGACATGATCTTGTCAACGACAAACCACGGACAACAAGAGCAAGTAACTCAGCAGCGTTCCGAAATACCTAGCGACTATCAGCGACAACATGCGGCGTTACCCGAGGATTCGACGAAGAATCCGCCACCGATTATTAGACGAGCGAAACTTGGCGAAGGGGCGAACATCAATTACATTACCTCTTCAACCAACCTGCAAATTGCAAATATCAACACGGCATCGGGAATTCTCAAGACGCAGAGGCCGCCCACATTCGACCCAAGCCAGCGTAACAGTTTGTCCGTCAGCGGATGGATTTTCCACCTGAACGTTTTTTACGACTACAACCTCGTCGTCGACGACGCACAGAAGATCAGATACACTGTTTCCCTCCTACGTGGATCGGCGATGGATTGGTGACAACAGATAATTCAGTCGTAGGAGCCGGATACGACGCCGCGTGTGATCGGGCGTTTTTGCTTAACCAATTATTGAGCAGGAAGCTTTTGCGAGGTGGATGAGTACAGAAGGTGGCAATCGTGGTGCGCGGGAATTCGTCGCTGCTTCGAACATGTCAATGCAAACAGTCAAGCGCGCAACCGCCTTCGCACGTGGCGCCAACACGGATCGGTCCAGGACTACACCAACAGCTTCATGAATCTATGCAACCAAATCGGCTACATTCACCGTTATCACAAGATCGAATGACTTGACGAAAGATTGCACTATCGATCAGTACAAGGCGCTTTTATAATTCCATAGTACATCAGGTAACCAGGTTTATCTTATCCTAAGGGAGTAGACCCTTCTAGAAGATAGAATCACCCTGCGTATAGCTACGTGAGGCTATTGGCTTTAAGGGATTACATCAGGATTACGCTAGATATAGCGCCCAGTACATCCCAAGCCTGGTCGGTGATATAATTATAATAGCAGGATAACCCAAAGGTTAAACCAAATGAGATGAGATAAAAAGAGAAATGAAAAGAGGAAGGAAGTAGAAAAAGGCCAAGTGGTGTAACGGGGTCGTACTCTCACACTTCCCCCCCTCAAAGCTGGGTGGTAGAAGTAACACCCTCTCGGACTTGACAAGGTAGTCATGCAGAGGACGACGTACGTTACCCATGTCGGACTCAGGTACCCAGCTGTCCTCAGAAGGATCATAACCCTTCCAACGGATGAGAAGCTCCACGGTGCCATTCCGACGACGGCGGTGTGCGAGCACGGACTCGACCTCTTACTCGGGTTCATTCTGGACGAGGACGGGCGGTGGCGGCGGCGGTTGGCGTCCGACGAAGATCGTGTTCGGATCCTTATAGGGCTTCTGAAGTTGGACATGGAAGGCGTTGTGAATCTTCCAGGTAGCTGGCAGGCGTAAGCGGAAGGTAACCGGAGTGACCTGTGCTTCAACGAGAAAAGGTCCGCAGAAGCGAGGTCGAAGTTTAGATGGGAGGTGGCTGATGTCCAGGTTGCGGGTATCAAGAAGCACCTGGTCGCCCACGGTAATGGTGTGGTCGTTGCGATGGCGATCGGCCTGGCGCTTCTGTTGCTGTTGAATGTCGAGGAGGCGCTTGTGGGTCCGATCCCAAAGCTGATGCATGGTCGTGATGAAATCATGTGCAGGTTGGACTGTAGCTAATGCTGTCGGTTTCTGTGGTGTGAGTGGGTGGCGTCCGTAGCAGAGGAAGAACGGCGTCTGTCCAGTAGCGGCATGTGTAGCGTTGTTGTAAGCAAACTCTAGAACGGGCAGGTGCAAGTCCCATTTGGAGATCTCGTCCTTAGCAGGCTGCTCGAAGGAGTTGCTCGACAATCTGGTTGAGGACCTCGGTCTGTCCGTCTGTCTGCGGATGGTAAGCAGATGACATGGCGAATTTGATCCCGAGGAGAGACATAAGTTCCTTCCGGAACTTGCTGGTGAACTTGGGGTCTCGGTCGGAGATGAGTGTGGTTGGAATGCCATGCTGTGAGATGATGTATCGAACGAAGAGTTGTGCTGTTTCTTCGGTGCGTGCTGTCGTGTGTGTCGGGATGAAGTGTCCCATTTTGGAGAATTTGTCGATGACGACAAGGATGGCGTCATGACCGCTGGTGGTAGGTGGTAACCCGGTGATGAAGTCCAGGCTAACCACTTGCCATGGTTGTTCTGGGACAGGAAGAGGCTGCAGTAGTCCCACCTTCTTCTGTTTGCTGCTCTTCATCCGCTGACATGTATCACACGAGGTGACGAACTTCTGAACATCCTCTGCCAAGTGCGGCCAGTAGTAGTGTTTTGCAATACCGGTCAGCGTTTTGTTGCTACCGAAGTGTCCGGCATAGAGGACGTTGTGGTATTCTTCGAGTAGTAACTGGCGCAAAGGAGGGTAATTGGGTACCCAGATTTTCGTTGATCCTTTCCGGTACACGATGTCACTGTCCCCCTGTAGCAGATGTTGTTTCTCTGCCAAGGGAATTTCGGGGTCGATGGCGTACCCGTGTGTGAAGAGTCACTTGAGTAGTGGATTCATCCCTTCGATCCGAATAGCGGCAACGTGTGCAGGTCGGCTGAGAGCGTCTGCTTTGTTACTGTGGCCGGGCTTGTCCACGATGTCGTAGTGGAAGTGTGTCTCGAGGAAGTCGATCCACCGGACTTGCCGCCTGGAGAGGTTGGGTTGTGTCTTTAGGTATTTCAGGCTGCAGTGGTCAGTATAGATGGTTGTTCTTCGTCCTTCGAGATAACATCTCCATGCTTTGAAGGCGATGACGATGGCAAGGGCCTCTTTGTCGTGTATCGAGTAGTTTAGTTCTGCTCCGTGCAATTTCGTGCTGAGGTAGGCGATTGGTTGCAGTCCATTTCCCTGGTCTTGCATTAAGACTGCTCCCACTGCCTGGTCGCTGGCGTCAGCTTCGATAACGTAGTCGCGTTCGGGATCTGGCAAGATGAGTACTGGTGCGGACGTAAGTGCTTGCTTCAGCTGCTCCATGGCTTCCTGGTGCTTTGGCTCCCATTTGTAGGGCGTGTTCTTCTTCAGCAGATTCGTGAGTGGTGCTGCGAGTTTCGCATACTGTGGCACGAACCTGTTGTAGTAATTAGCGAAGCCTAGGAATTGCTGCAACTCCTTCACGTTCTCGGGTGTCTTCCACGTACGTACGGCTTCGATTTTCTTGGGGTCGACGTGAACTCCTTGAGCGCTCACCATGTGTCCTAGGAACTGGACCTTCTCAAGGGCGAATTCGCTCTTGGACAGTTTGACGTAGAATCGTTCTCGTCGAAGAATTTCAAAGACGCGTCGCAGGTGTTCGACGTGCTGCTTCATGTCGCACGAGTAGATGAGTATATCGTCCAGGTATACCACCACACACTCGTCCAAAAGTGGTCATAGAATGTGGTTCATTTCGGCTTGGAACGTTGCCGGTGCGTTGGTAATTCCGAACGGCATTACCAAATACTCGTACGATCCATACCGAGTTCGGAAAGCAGTTTTGTGGATAGAGTTGTCCGCCATCCGTATCTGCCAGTATCCGGACCGCAGATCCAGTTTGGAAAATACCGTAGCTCCCCGAAGCTGGTCAAGCATTCGCGGTATCGGATATTTATTCTTGATGGTCTGCTTGTTAAGAGCTCGGTAGTGGATGCACATGCGCAGGCTTCCGTCCGGTTTCGGTGTGAAGAGTACTGGGGCACCGTACGGCGAAGTGGATGGTCGGATGAGTCCTTTGGCTAGGAGATACTCGATTTGTTTTTTCATTTCGGTCAGCTCCGTAGGGCTGAGCCGATATGGTGCTCGGAAGGTCGGCTTCGAACCCGGTTCCTCCACGATCTCGTGTTGATGCGTTCGGTT